GGCCTCAAAAGAAACTGTACTCTTTATCCTAGAAAATTAGCGAGCTTTCTCAATAAGAATTGTACGGGTAATCCTCTAATCCCTCATTTGGTAGTCATATGGGCATCAACCTTATACTTTCCCAAATGAACCAAAGCAACAATCTCATGAGATTTTGGATCCCCCTCTAAACTGGTGAAAAGAACACAATCAGTAACAGGTAATCCCAGTAGATAAGAATACTCCTCTAATGTAGGCACCAACTGATAATCAGGGAAAGTGAAACAACGATACATCAAATCATAGAACTGGACCAAAGTCGAGAGAATACACTCCTTCATCCTAAGCTTCATGAGAGACATGATGAATCCATACTTCTTCCAAAAATCTACAGAAATCTGAACCTCAGGAATTAGACTCATCAAATCATCTATCTTGGGATTCTTGAAACTGTACTTCAGAGTCTTTCTTTTTCTAGAATCCATGGTCACAGTACCTGGGATATTCACAAAGAGTCAACTTTAAGTCCATTGAACCACAATTTCTTAAAAGATGCTCATGGGTGCATGAATGCATGATGCAACAATCACACACAAGATCACAAACACGGGGGGTTCATACGTTTGATGTCACGAGCATAGAGTCAAAGGTACTACCCATAAGGTATGATCTAAAAGTTTATCACCTTCCGAACAAGGTTATAAAAGGTTCCAAGAGTCTATATCCTTCCTTCAGATATTACCAACACCCCCGATTGACTCGGTAATTAGCAATATTCTCAGGAAAAACTTATTCGAGCGTAGTATCGCGTGACAACCATTTCCGGATTACTCTGTCATAGCTTCCGCACTACACCTAAAAGGCCAAGATGGGTTAAAGGTTATACAGTCCTCAGTTTCAACAGGCTTCCAGGTCGAAAGCAACATGTCTTCCCAATTATTTGGTAAATGATACTACAGTCAAAGGGGCCTCAACTTAGTGGGGGATCTCATGTCTAATTTTTTGGGATTACTCCCTCAAAGTTAACATGACTATACTTCTTATCCTATCTTAAGTTTGCCCAAGTCCGGGTTGAGGACTTATGAGAAAGGACCACGCACCATGAAAACCAGGAAAATCTAGACACACATATATACAACACATAATATATAACAAATAATGGCACATATACAAATAAACAAAGATAGGCTCAACCCACTTAGGGATGGACCATCAATAGGTCGATCCTTCCCCAGCAGAGTCGCCATTTTTTTTCTGTAGCGGTAGAAATGTTAAAACTAAGCCATTGGATTAACTTGACTCGCACAAATCAAACAAAAATCGCCACCGCGCTTTATTGTTTCCAAAGGAATGGTAAAATAATGAATAACCCAAAAAGAGGGGGAGATAATCTAAGTTCGGGGTTGGTTATGCAAAGGGAAGGTATTAGCACCCTAAACATCTATGGTACTCCGTAGGAACCTCTTTGAAAATTTGTGTATTTTGGCTATAAATGTTGTATACAAAAATAGATTGTGGAGATGAGAAAAGAAGTATTTTTACAATTTTTTCACCCGCCGTGGTTGCGAACCTTTAGTGCCTACGTACCACCTTCAATGCAATAGGGGACCAGGGTACTCGTAGTTCACCTTTAAAAAATTTAAAACACAAATGTGTTGGTTAATGTTTAAGAGATGAGACATCATCGTTGTATCCGAGTGGAAAACATACTTACTACCCATGATCATGAGAAAGGAGAATTTGCATCATATCAAAGTGGAGGATATGGCTTGGGTTTTAAAATCAACAAATCCTCGCTCAACACCCAAGTGGAAAATATCTCACTTCACTACGTATCATAGAAGTATAGTACTCCCTCCATTCTCTTTTATAAGAAAATTTTGACTTTTTAGATTCATTGAATAAATAATGTATTTAGACTATATATAAGTTAGATACATCAATTATTAAATTAATCTAAAAAGTTAAAATTTTCTTATAAAAGAGAATGGAGGGAGTAGTTCGCATCACTACAAATATTGACAAGAGTTTGATCTTTTGAGAAAAGTTTTAAAGTAAAAAAAAAAACCAAGGTGGCAAAATGATTTGAATGAGATTGATTGAATTTTAGTCTTCTCAAAAAAATGTCAAAGTATTATTAGGTTGGTTAAAGTTTGATCAAGAAAATATTTTGAAAATGCATGGACCTAAGTCCAAGTTTATTGTGAAAGCGGTTCAAGTTTAAAACAAGAATAGTTTTCAAAAGAAGGGAGAAGATTTTTGAAATTAAAGAAGGTGGGAGGAGATGAAGGGACTATCCTAAAGCATAAAGTAAAAGTTAGGGAAAAAAACTGTCTAACCAACAAGGAGCCAACACTTGACATTATGAGTCAATGTAGAAATCTCATTCTTTGGATTGAAAACAAATGAGCAAGGACATATAATCTCTTGATAGTCCAACTTCAAGTGCATTAAGTTTTCACAAAAAAATTGGACAGAGTAACGGCTGTATACAGATGAATTCCCAATCACAGACAAAGTATATATCAGAATAACCTGCACACAAAGAAAACAAACAACCCAATGTCTTGGGGTAAACCCCAAGAACTCTAGAAAAAATAGAAATTAAAGTCACAAGGTCTCAAGGTAGGTCAAGGTCTCTAATCCTAAGTCCAAGAAATCCATCACTCCATAATGCCAAGGAGGGTAACCAAATAGTCCATGTAACATTAAAAAAATTTATGGTTCAAGTTGATTATTAGGCATCTTAAAAAAGAAATGAGAAGCTCAAGTGAGCAAAATAAAAGTGACATAAAGGTAAATGCTCAAGTGAGCAAAGACGAAAATAGCATAAAATGTAAATGCTAAAATAAAATGGTGCATAAAGTAAAGGCATAAAATAAAGGCACAAAATAAAGGGGCATAAAGGTAAAGTCAAATATTAATGAATTAGTAATTAGAGGTTAGTTGAATGACCATATTGAAACTTGTAGTTTGAAAACTCATTAGAAGATTGATAAAATCAAAGCCTCTCAACAACAAGTTTCGTTTTCTTTTTGTCAAGTATATCGTTCATTTCAAGTTCTCAATGTAACAACATATGATTAATGATGTATAAATAATCCACTTATATCAAAGTTTATGAATATTCATTAGAGGATTGATAAGATCAAAGCCTCCTAATAATGAATCTCAAGGTTATTGGATCAAATGTTTCAAATTAAACATCCTTGGGCTTGCAAACTTGGGTTTGGGCCACAAATGATCATTTCTCGAATCAGGACTAAATTTAGCACTATGTTAAGCAATCATAAGTGGACTTATATAGAAGTCGCACCTATTTTGAGGTTGGTCAATAGTAATCTATATGTCATTTGTTTGGAGAGATGATATATATATATATATATATATATATATATATATATATATATATATATATATATATATATATATATATATATATATATATATATATATATATATATATATATTATATATATATATATATATATATATATATATATATATATATATATATATATATATATTATATATATATATATATATATATAATATATATATATATATATATACTATATTATATATATATATATATATATTATATATATACTATATATATATATATAGATATATATATATATTCCCAACACTCCACATCATTTTCTCTTTCTTCCACCTAATAACTCAACACTCATTCAACTTTTACCCTCTCCAATGGTTTTTCACTCAACACCCTACCCCACCACTTTTTATTTTCATATTCTTATTTAAATTTTATTTTTATTTTTATGATTACATAAAATTACAATTATCGATTAAAATTAAATTAAAATAATAAATACTTAATAATTTATTTTTTAATTTTTTGTAATAAAAACAAATTTTATTTAAATAATTGGATACGATACAAATCATCTTAAATTAATTTAAAATACAACACACAATTAACGTAATTAGTACGTTACAAATAATTTAAAATGCAACACAACACACAAGTAACGTAATTAGTACGATACAAATAATTTAAAATGCAATACAACACACAAATAATTCAATCACGGAACATTCCAAACTTTGTCCATATGTGCTTCACTAGATCGGCTTGCAATTCTTGATGAACATTTGGATCACGGAACTCTGATCTAGCACGCACATGATTTGCAAAAGCGGGTAACACCTCGGTCGAGTATGGTTGTGGTGCACTAGATCCACTTTCCCCAGACTGCTCAAAATCGGTCCAACGTTGAGAATATGAATCTCGTTCATCCTCAACAATCATATTATGTAATATGATGCATGACCTCATGATGATACCCAAATCAGCTATGTCCCACAAGCGAGCTGGTTCACGGATGATTTTAAATCGAGCTTGGAGCACTCCAAATGCACGTTCGATGTCCTTCCGACATCCCTCTTGAAATTTTGCAAATAATTTATCGGGTTCACTTTGAGGAAGTCTAATCGATTTGACGAAAGTTGGATAAGAAGGGTAGATATCATCAGCTAGATAGTATGCCATATTATATGGACGTTGATTCACAAAGAAATTCACACTTGGAGCCTTTCCCTGTTCCACGTCATCAAACACTGGTGACCGGTCTAGAACGTTTATATCGTTCAACGTTCCCGGACATCCAAAAAAGGCATGCCAGATCCATAGGTCATGAGATGCAACTGCTTCAAGAATAACTGTGGTGGTTCCCTTATCCCCTCTAGTAAATTGTCCTTCCCATGCTTTAGGACAATTTTTCCACACCCAGTGCATGCAGTCAATACTCCCAATCATCCCTGGGAACCCCCGCATTTCACTAACATGCAGTATTCTTTGCAGGTCATCTTGGGTTGGTGCTCTCAGATACACTTGCTCGTACAAGCGTATGATTCCTTTACAGAATCGACGTAAGCACTCCAATGTTGTAGTACCTCCTATTTTGATGTACTCATCGACCGCATCTGCTGCCACACCATATGCTAACATTCGCATTGTTGTGGTACATTTTGCTAAGGGTGATATACCTTCTTTATTGGCTGCATCAACTCGCTGGGTGAAGTAGTTATCACTACTTGAAAGGTCCCCAACGATTCGAAGGAAAACATTTTTTTCATCCGGTACCGACGACGAAACATTGCATCGTCATATGTAGGCTCATTGGCAAAGTAGTCGTCAATTAGTCTTTGGTTTGCCGCTGCATGATCTCTATTGAGATATTTTCTACTACGAGGTGCATTATCTTCCAATATTTTGTTTCTACGCTCTCTAAATCGATTGACTATATAATTTTCTTCAATTTCACGATTTTGATTGTAGGTTGCGATATCAAAATGATATTGTGATGGATCCATTTTTTTGTGATATTGGAGGTAGGTTGGATGGGATTTGGGATATTGGTACATAAATGGATGTATGAGTCCCTATATATAAATGGATGTGGGTGGTGGACCACTGACGGATTCGAAATAATTTATTGTATATAGTTAATTATCAGATAAGGAATAGATTCGAATTGGGTGGTGGACCACTGACGGATTCGAAATAATTTATTGTATATAGTTAATTATCAGATAAGGAATAGATTCGAATTGGGTGGTGGACCACTGACGGATTCGAAATAATTTATTGTATAGAGTTAATTATCAGATAAGGAATAGATTCGAATTGGGTGGTGGACCACTGACGGATTCGAAATAATTTATTGTATAGAGTTAATTATCAGATAAGGAATAATTAAAGCAAACACTACACTGGCATATTGAAACAACAATAATTAAAGCAAACACTACACTGGCATATTGAAACAACAATAATTAAAGCAAACACTACATTGGCATATTGAAACAACAATAATTAAAGCAAACACTACACTGGCATATTGAAACAACAATAATTAAAGCAAACACAACACTGACAAATACTTCATTGAAATTAATTATCAAACAGTTCTGCCTCCAACTTTTTCAACAGCTGGTTCTTCCGGTCATCTAGATGCTCTTCGGAAGTTAGCTTTAGATACATCTTCATTTTCTTGGTTTTAGTCTTCTCCAAGGCTATATTGTTAGCCTGCTGTTGCATCAACGCTATGTTGTCCAATCGTTCAAGCTCTTTCGTCTTGAATTCTTTGTATTCAGCCCATTCTTTGTCCACCACCTCCGAGGCATATTCCTTGCTTTTCTTTTTACCCTTTTTTTTAGCTGCCTCCCTTCCTATAGGACGAGCACTGGATTCTACAGTGTTTGAGCCACATGCATCACTCTCGCGAGATCTCTTAGATCCACTACTTCCTGAGCCAATATTTCCTCCTACTTGACTACCATAATGTGGTTGATCACGGAGAGCGTGCCATTCTTCCATTAAAGTGAATTTAACATTCTTCCCACATGCATATAATTCCTGCGCTTTTGCCAAAACATCATTCTCCGACCAACCACTTCCTTGCATACGCTTAGCGCCATCATAAGCGCCAATCCATTTACCCAACACTTTGTTCATATAATTAAAACGGTTTCGGCATGCAGGTCCATCACGCGGAGGATCGAATGAGCAATGCTCATTACAATACTCAGCAATTTTACCCCAATATGTTTCACCTTTCTGGTTTCTCCCGACAACACTGCTTGTTCCAAATTTAATCCACCCACTAATTAGAACCAAATTTTGTTCAGTGTTCCATGTTGGTTGCTGAGTTTTCCTGCTCTTAGGAGTTGAATCCTCTGAATTCGGACCGACTTCATTAGAAACAATCATGCCACCAATAGTTAGTTGTGTTGAAAACTCGGGAAATTCAGGTACATCACCACTTGGAAAATTTGCATTCGCCATTGTCACATAACCATTAAACGGGGGTGTTTGAGATGGATTTCTCGGCATAGATCCATAATATGTTTGAAAGTTTGGAACAGAGGATGTCTGGTTGAAATTTGGTGGAAAACCAAAATTAGGTATGTTTTGAGGATGTTGGTTGGAAAATTGATTTGGATTTTGATAATAGTTGGGATTTTGATAATTGTTGGGATTTGGAAAATTGTTGGGATTTTGGTTAAATGGAAAATTAGCAGAATTTTGAGTGTTAAAATGATTATTGGGATCCATTTCACTAAAAAAAGACACTTAACTTCAAAATAAACACTAATAATAAAATTAAGATAGTGAAAAACTTAGTTTTTTTTTGTGTCCAAATCAAATGAACCAAGTCTCTATTTATAGAGAAAAAAAAATCATGAATTTTGGTAAAAAAAAAAATAATTAATTAATTTGCAACGAAATAATTGAGTTCAAAGTATTAAATGGATAAAAATCTGGTCAGCCAATCAAGCACAGCCACGTGGCTGCACTTATCCCTTTTCTCTTTCTCTCTCCGCGTGGATTAAGACCCACTCTCACCCCCAGCGAGTGGGCTACACGCGCCTGGCCCAGACCAATGAGGCGCTGCCACGTCATGCCCTTGGTCAGCTTCAATTGTATTGAGTTTTCTCAACACCTCTCTCTTCCAACACACACTCAACACCTCTCTCAACACCCATTGGAGGAGATTTTGCATGTTGAGTTCAAACTCAACATACCCATTGCACATGGTCTAATAAGAAGAAGATGAGATAAAGAGGGAAGGGATATATTTGAAATAAAAATTTAATCAAACTATCATTAAAATCATTCATCCATTTTGGTGGAGTTAAACTCAACACCCAAGATCCAATGATGTTAGTGAAGTTCATGATCAAAAGTCACAAGGTCAGAATATGCACAAAAATAAAAATGCATTTAATGAATAAAATAAAAAACAAAATGATTTTTAAAATGTTTTTTAAAAGGAAAATATAAGGGAAAATAGCAAATTATACTCAAAATATCAAAGAAAAAATAAAAGATACCATAGAAAAATCAGAAATGACCTCAAATATTTTTACAAAATTTTTGGTAATTTTTCAAATCTAAAAAGTATTTTTAAACTAATTAAAATTACTCAAATAAGTGAAAAAAAGATCAAAAATAGTAGAAGTCAAAATAAAATTCTAATAAAAATTTAGAAGGTCAGAAATAAGAGAAATAATTTTGATGAATTTTTTTCAGAATTTAAAAATGTCAAAAAGTATTATTAAGCAATTAAAAACAAACCAAAACAAAGAAAGAATCATGAAAAATACCAAATCTGAAAATAAAATTATGAAAAAGTAAAAATTAGAAAGAGAATATTTGAAAATATTTTAGTGAATTTTTTCATAATATTTGAGTCAGAAATGAATTTTCTATGATTTTTGAAGTTTAAAACAATTAAATATAAAAAATCAGAAATAAAAAATAGAGTAAAAAAATATAGACCATTGAATGAGAGTCAAAACGCGTTAGTAAGCTAATCTAATGGATCAGACGTGTTGTGCATATCATGGTCCTTAATGAATAAAACATGTGATCAACTATTAAATCAAATTTGAAAAAATGTGTGGCAAATTCCCATTGGTTGAAGATGAACACGTAGGTCATCTTCAACCTCTGTCCACACGATTTGCAGGTTCATGAAATGGAAAAATTAGAGCTCGAGACTGGTAACATTCGCTTCGTCTCTTCAAGACGATTCCAATGGTACTCTCGCGAAAAATTTATGTAAGGTGTAGCTCAGTCATCTCAGAAGGAAAGATTTAAAAAGGGATTTGAAAATTCATGGCCAAAACTCACTTCCAAATGAAAACAAATGTTACTACTAGAATCAGAATGATGAGAGCTTCATTACAGTACCAAAATTTGAGAGAATTGATGAAAGAATCTACCTATTGAAGTTAAAATTCAGAGCTCCGAAACATGACTTGGCTAGAAAGATTTAGGAAGTCTTAGAGCTTGGTTCTTCTTCTGTTAGCTTCACTGAAGTTCAAGGATGAAGAATTGACAAAGAATATGGATTGAGGAAAGCTATAAAACCAAATTCGAAGTGGCAGAAAAGTGGGTTGAAGAGAGAGTTTAGCAGGGTGATTCTGGCTATCTAAGCTTGAGAAAATGAATGAGGCATGACCCTCTATTTATAAGGAAGCTAGTGGAATGCTTAAGTGTGTGAAATGATGAAGTTTTGAGGGAAATCGTGTGAAGTTGCAAACATGAAGAGTGTGACTTCTATTTTGCTCAATACTCAACCAAAACTTGTGTTTCAAGGTGCTAATCACTTCTGGAAGATTGCTAAACATGATTAGAAGTAAAAACACGTAGAAATCTTGTGTTTAGAGGCCAAATCGTGAATTTCAAATTCTGACTTAGGAGAAAACTTCAGTTTCAAGGTACCATCTTTGAATTAATGGTATGCATGATTTAGGGAACCTTAGGACTTGATTATTAATGGCTTGCAAAGATGAGGTCACAAAATTTATAATGTGTAATGAATGGAATCAAATGGATGCTTGAGCTGAAAGTTGTAATGAGTCAAAGTTGGGAAAAAATGATGACTTTTTGTAAAATTCTAAGTGTTTCTTCAAAAATTACCTATAATGTCTTGCATCCAAACATGGCCTTCCATTTAAAATTTGCTCTTAACCCAAAAAGATGGAATAAATTAGATCTCTTGAATTACATTTTGAGACTTGAACCATTTAAAAACTCCAAAAATTGAGAAAGTTATGACTTTGTGAAGTTGGTGAAAATTCATGAGATGACCTATAATATTTTGCATCCTTAGGGCATCTTCCATCCATTTTAAAACTTTTCTCATAAGAGAAGAGTTTAAGTTCACACCTTTAAGATAGTTATGGAAAAACAATGGGCTCAAGGAGATAAAAATTGACCAAGTTATGATCCTTTGAGGTCACAAAAGGGAATTTGATGGCCTATCTAGAGGACTTATAATCTTTCTCAATCATTAAGCATCTTCCACACAAAATTTTCTTGAAACTTTTGAAGTGATTTGTTGATAATCCTTTGAATAGAAGCATGTTTTTGGAATCACTCAAAAATATCAAAAGATGAGCAATATATATCCCTTAGAAGTTCAAAACCCTAGCTCCTAGAGCACCAAAATGCCTTAGAAACCCTTTTCAATTTTGACAAACTTTCTTACACAAATACTTATGTCTTGTAAATAGAAGTTATTGAGGATGATAGTGAGAAACCATAACCACTTCCAAATATTAAGAATTGAGGGGAAAATGCACTTGTGACCAAGAAATCAAGAATTTGTCCAATTAGGTCAAATTTCTTCAATCAACCCTTATATCTTTGAACTATCTTTGACAACTTGAGGCATGATGAATCATAATAGAATTTGTCATGACAAAATATCTTCAATGATGAAGCTTGAATCTCAATGAAGCTTTGTTGAAGAAGGCATGGAAGTAAACTCATGAACCTATAGATCAACTTGATGGAATGT